ATACTTGATGCCATTGGTTTTGGTCCTAGCCTCTGGAGCAGGAAAAAACAAGTTGCTTCATCTTCCATGTGACTTTTCTTTAGATATTTGAAGATGGCTATCATACCTCCTTTCAGTTTCCTCTTATCCAGCCAACACATACCCAACTCCCTCAACTGTTCCTCATGCGGTTTGGTTTCCAGGCCCTTCATCATCTTAGTCACCCTCCTCTGCACATGTTTCAGTGTGTCAATTTCTTGTCCTTCTTAAATTGTGGTGCCCAGAACTGGGCAAAGTATTTCTAGTGTGGTCTGACCAAGGCAGAATAGAATCAAATTAGCTTTTCTTTTGCTGCAGCATCACACCATTGACACATGTTAATATTCTGATCTATTAAGACCACTAGATCCTTTTCACATCTACTACTGCAAAGCCATGTGCCTCCCATCTTCTATTTGTGCAGGCGGTGATTTCTGTCTAAGTGCAGAATATTGCATTTACTGCTATTGAAACATATTAGCAATGTTCGGTGAGGCTAAACCAGTGTAGCTGCACTGATGCACTTGTGGTGCCCTGAGTTGTTTTCCCAACAATATAACCTGTGTGCTTTGCTGCATGTGTGAAATACCATTACTATTTACACCATTTTACCATGCAACAGCCCTGTACCCTAATCCTATGCATGTTTACCTACAGAGGTCCCACTGATTTTACTCCAGGCTCACTTATAGGTAAAGATGCCTAGGATTGCTGCCATAGTAACTGATTCTGTCTACCTACCAGAGAGTTGTTGGTCTCCATTAACCTTAAACTTGAGGAAGTGCACCTTACTCCTTCTCAGCTCTTATGCCAAACTTTTCATTCAAAGCTACTTTTCCTGATTCTATTTACATTCCAGAGCTGTGGCAGGTGAACGCATTGGTCACTGGGCCAAGGATAAATGACAGTTTTCTTCCTGTAGTCAAGTTAAAATTTATTTTTAATGGATCACTGGGATGAGTGCATGTTTACCAAGCAGCAAAGAAAAGTCAAGGGGACATGATATGGATGTCACTCACATGGGAAGCAAGGAATGACCAGAGAGAGAGAGAGAGAGAGAGAGAGAGAGAGAGATTTACTGTATTCTTGGTCCCAGATACATAAAAGAAAGAGATTCACCTACTCTCAATACCATGATGCCAAATGCATCACACCAAGTGATGTGCACCTTCTACAACTTTAAATAGCCATGGCACCCTGCTCCATTTCCCTTGGACCATGGACCACGTGGCTAACACTGTTCTCCCTTACCCTGGATCTGACACATAAATGCTTCTGAGGGTGTTATTCTTATTCAGGGTGAATCTTCCATTGTTACCAATAGATGCTTCATTTCCAGGATGAACAGCAAGCTTGAGGATGCAATATTTATCAGAAACATGAGGGTTCAAGTGGGAGGAAGCAGCTGGTTTCTCTTCCCCACATGCCGTGGTTTTGGAGAACCACCACCACCTTGGCACACACACAGTGACTATTAACAGTTAGAAAAACATTCACTTACTTAGCATCAAGTGTAGTTTGGCCCTTAGCGCAAGATGGCAAAGATTAAGAAGATCCTGAGAAGGTTTGGAAGACTGAAGTAAAAATGAAGTTAATAATAATAATAAGAAGAATAAGAATAATAATGCATTCATCCCCTCCTTCCTATTTCTTGTTCTTATTCCTTATCCTTATCAATTTCTGATCTTTTATCCCATTCCTTATCTTCCTAGTTATCTGTTTTTAAAAGAAATCTAGATTTTTTGGGGGCAAGGGGGATTCTGCAGAAGCCAAATAGTAACACAATTTAATCATTAGACATCTCTTTACCACACAATAGTGGTGTTACTTCATTTTGTGAAGCCCATGGATTTTACATGGATTTTACTGTATGACAGGTTCACAGCCTATTGATTAAGCACTTTATAAGATACACTTTAATGCATGACTTTAATTGTTTGTGTGCATGCATGTGAGAAAGCAGGGGGAGAGTAAGGTTTCATCAAAACAAAAGTCTTTGGTGCCCTTAATGCATGAACTAAAGAAAATCAAAAGTCATGGCCAATGTAGAATGGTTCAGACAAGGACAAGGCCAATAACAATGGTTTACCTGTATTGTACACACAGGAGGAGTCTTGTATTATCGGGTGATTATTTGAAGGCAAACACTTGTCAATGTCCAAGATACATAAACTGGCATCAATAATTAACAGAAGATGTGACCTATCCAATGTACCTCACACCTACTACTTAGTGCTGATTGCTACACTATTTCAGTAAGGTACAAAAGAAGTCTGCCACATATCAGGACTTAGACCATAAAAAATCAAGCTACAATATAGCTACAATATGCTGAGATTATTGAACAGAGAATATTAAAAATAAGCCTGCCAGGGAATGTATGGGCATTTTGAAAAGAATCATCTGTGAGGATCCACAACTACCTTTAGCAAGAAGATGACTTTCAAGAATTACTGGCCTGAGGCTTACTAAAATGAAATTATGCTAGTGAGACAAAGAATGAAGTCTATTTAAAAAGCTACATTAATCCAACTCCAGAAATGGTTGTAGAACTTAAATCAACAAAGCATGCCATTCAGAAGGCAACTAGATCATGAGCAAGCCAAACTGCATCTTACACAGAGAATCCAATAGGATAAAACAAAAAAAAATAAAGTGGTTCATGTTGTGAGCAGAATGATACAGTGAGTTGTATATTTTTGAGACTCTCAGAAAGCAGTCAGTGAACTGCTAGATTTGCATGCAATAAATGTGTTCAGTATGGAGCATCCTGACAGGAGAGTGATGCACCAAAGACTGCTTTGCAAACGGCAAAGCACCTGGAAAGGATGCTATTCAAGCTGAACAGTAGGTGTGGAAAAGTCACCATGTTATTAAACATCTTTGACCTCTGTCCATATTGCTACATAGAAAAAGTAGAACAGGATATACTAGGTGCCATTACTAAAATAAGAACAAATAAATATATGGAGGATTCTAATGTTATAGAATGGAATTCTCTTGTCAGCAGCATAAGCAGAGTATTATTTACAGAGAAATCCCGCTTACTTTGGGCTTGCGGGGAGAGCATTGGAATAAGAGGTGTTAAGCTTGAAGCTTGAAAAACCCTGCTATAATTTATTGTGTTCATATGTCTTGAGATATGTTACTACTTTGGGCTGATTCTCATGTTAGTCTGTACTCAAATATCATTGGCATCCATTTATCTCAAGACAATGAAGGAGTGCACCTTTGGGTGAGATCAAGCTGTTGGAGGTTACAGTGCCTGCTGGGTCTGTAGAAACTGATACAGGAAGACATGTTTTGTGGCAGCTGGGGCAGACGAAGGCATCCAGTTGTGCTGCTGGTGCACTACGGCATTCCTTCACTCTGTGCTCCTCCCGGTGGTCATTGCTACTCTTGTCACAGCTTTGGATGCACCTGACTGTCTCCAGGCAATGTTTCTGGCAGAGCATGTCCTTGAGAATTTTGCCATCTTCCATTCTGTGGGCATGACGAAGCCAGCATAGACATCACTGAGGCAGGAGACAGGAGAGAGATGTTGGCTTGGGTGAGAACATCTTTGTTTGAGACTCTGTTCTGCCATGTGGTGTTCAAAATCTTCCTGACACTGTGCATCCAGACATGCACCCACAGTGACAATGAAAATGTCCTTATAGGTGGATATCTCTTGTGCAGATTGTGTTGCTTGTGTTTCTACTGTCAAACTATTCTGTATGCACTTCAGATACATCATGTTAATTTGCACTCTGCCATTCCATTATGGACAGCCATAGCTATCTGATATACTGGGATTCCAATATCATTGATGTTCATCTCTGAGCATTAAAATGGCAGGAAGTGCAGTAGCAGACAATAGGATCCCCACACTACTGTATCAATACCGTTTTCAGTGTCCCAAGAAATCTCACAGCAACTATGACCATGAGGAAGAATAATGTTGAGAAGAAGGTATAAGCTTCAAAACAATTATTTTGTGTGTGGGAACATTCCCTAAATGTCAGTATAACATGTGCAATTGGCTTCATATATCCACTTGGAACAGACAACACATCCCATGGTTGTTGCTTTTTTGTGTTTGTTGGTGAATGTTTATTTTATTGGTGAATTAGGCACCTATTTTTACATTTGGATTGCTATTTTTAGTTTACTGTCAGTTGTCTTGAACACCGAGATACAAATTTAATAAATTTATGCAGTATTTAGAGATTCTTCTGATTAAGCAGAATGAAGAAAGAAAATGGATACAAAAGGATTTCTATGAAATCAACAGTGCCCAGTGCCCAGTGATACTGGAAGAAGATAGTGAAGCCCACTGTAGCTGGAGCCAGATTCAATAATAGGCAACAGCAAAGCATGACACGTGGAGCCTAGTTTTGTCCCTGGCCTGCTGAGTTATACAAGAGCAAACGTGAGACGAAGGAGGAGCTGAAATCCAGGGCCCCCTCCTGAGCTGCGTGTAAATCAGAAGGGAGGCAGGTGGGAGCAGACAGAGGCCAACCTGAAGTTGGGGGCGCGCGTTCTCCATTTGTCCCAGTGGACCAGCCTCCACCTCTTTAAATCCTTCACGCCAGTGTAAATCCAAATTATGACTCTACGATGATGTTCTGGAGGAGTAGCAAGAGCATCGCAGAAATGTAACTTTAAACTGACAGCAAGTCCACGCCTTCATACCTACATGGGCGTGAGAAGCGGGATGGGGGATACAGGCGAAGTTAGCACGCGAGGAAAGGATCAGCAGCGCGACGTGAGAAGGAGAGGATCGGCGGAGCGCAGGTGCTGTGCTTTCTTCCCGGGTCCGTCCCTGCGCAGTTCATGTCCGCTCCTGGCATTTCTGCTGCTCTCCCTGGTTCTTCCACACGTGCCTCTTACTTGTTTGGCAATCTGTCATCCACTGCTCCGCCCCGCACCTCCCCAGAGCTGATTGGATCCCGTCTGCCGATCAGCAGTGCCTGTAGTCTTCTGGCCGTCCCTCTCTTTAGCTACGCACATAGCGAATTATCCTTGGAAGAATCGGCTGCTGCTGCCGCTGCTGGCTGCCTGAGTTGTGACCCATTTTCCCAAGCGCTCTCTCGCACGCACGCTCTCGCCGCCGCCGCCGCCGCTGCTTCCAAGCGGGCGCCGTCTTCAGCCCGCCGGGTGCTCGCAAGCCGAGAGAAGCGGCCACTTTCAGAACTACCTTTGGACAGCGACTTCCCTCTTTCCACCTCCCCGCACCTTTTTATTCTTTTCCCCAAACCGCTCATTGGCTGGCAAGGAAACACCCCACTTGCATTCCTCATAGGCTCAGGCAAATGCCAGTCCAAAGTTGAGACAAAGAGGGTGGGCACTGCAAAGCAATAAGTCCCCTTCACACGCGGACACCCCCCTCCCCCCCCGCCGTCCCCAGAACTCACTCATCAGTTTTCCTCTTGCATCGGTGCTGCCCGCTGACAGGTTAGGAGCGCAGGATAGACCCTCTCCTATTGGACAGCCGCAGCTGCCTGTCAGGCTCTGGCTGCGAAAGGGGGAGGACACTAAAGAGAGCGTGGCTGTGCAAAAAAATAAAAAAAATGTGCCGGGGGGTAGGTCCAAAGCCCAGCGAGGGGGCGTGGCCCGGCAAGTTAGAGGCGTGGCTATTCAGAGAGAGGGAAACGTGCCGGGGAAGGGGGCGGAGTCCTGTAGGAGAAAGGAGGGGTCATTGTGGCGAGGGGAGGGAGGAGGAGGAGGTGCGCGCGCTGAGATTGCCCTTGTGTCTAGAGCTGGGAAAGCGGCTGGTGTAGCGGAGCAGTCTCCCTGCGAGCTGAGGTGAGAGGCAGCGTGCGAAGCAGCAGGAAGGCGAGCGCCGCAGCTGCCCGCCCGTCTCTCCTCAGCACCCGGACCGGCCGGAGAAGGGGCGGCCGAAGAAGGGAGCTTTTGCCGGTGTTTTCAGAAAGGGGCGGCCGGCTCCTGGCGAGGAAGGAGCGAGGGAGGAAGTGTGCAGCCGCGTGCCCCCCACCGAGGGAAGGACGGGCTTGGGGGGCGAACTGAGGAGGAGGGCGAAGCCAGCCGCCGCTTCTGCCGCCGCCGCCGCCGCCGCCGCTCGCCCCCATTGCACCCCCGCGCGACCCTGGTCCTCCTCTTCACCCCGCTGGATAGGCTGAGGGAGACACTGCGGCGGCGGAGGCGGCGGTGGAGGCGGCTCCTGCTGGGGGGAGGACGAGCCCGGCGAGAGGAGGAGGAGGAGGAGGAAGAGGAGAAGAAGAAGAAGAGGAAGAAGAGAGCGGGAACAGCGGTCGCAGCAGCAGCAGCTGCTGCGGGATTCTCTGCCTCGCGCCCAACCAGCCCGAGGGAAACCCCCAGGATGCGGCTGAAACCGAGCGTCGTCTTGCGCTTATACAGCCTCTGCGGGATCCTCATACAAGGTACCACCCCCGCCCGTGCCCACTTCGCCGCCGCCGCCGCCTCTCGGCCCCCCGCTCGCGCCCAACTTCTGGCTGCGACGTGCGTGCCAAGGCTGAGGTGGGGTCGTCGTGGGGCCGGAGGGGCACCCTGTGCTCTTTCCTCGCCGCCTTGGAAAGACTCCTCGCTCGACCTCATTCCCTCCTCCTGTCGCCTCCTCTCTCTCCCCCCCTCCACTCCCTGGAGACTTGCCCCCAGCCTGCCCCTCATTTGTCTTCTCATCTCTCGGCTCCCTCTCCCCCCCCCCCCCCTTGCCCGCCCGCAAGCTCCTTTCCCTCCCGGCTGGGTTCTCTAATCCTGGGCTTCCTTCCCCCTTTATCTCTTCCCTTCGCTTCCTCCTGGCTTCCCATCCCTCCTCTCCCGTGCGCCCCCCTCCCCCGCCGTCTTTCGTCTATCCATCACCCTTCGGCGCTCTCTCTCTCTCTCCTCCTCCTCTTCTTCCACCAGCACCTCCTAGCCTCCAGCCCCGCCACTTGTACAGAGCCTGCCATCCTTAAAGTGCTGCACAAACATTAATCCTTTCCTGCCCGCTCCTGAAAGTCCTTCCCTCCCGTCCCCTGAGAGTCTTGCAGCAGCACCCCCTCCTCGGTTTCAACTCCTCGTACCCTTTCCCTCCAGCCACTCTTTTTCACCCCATCGCCTGTGTCTATAAAAGTGAGAAGGGCGATGCAGCGAGAGGAACAACGTGGGCACTGCAACACCATCCCGTGGGGGGGGGGGGAGGAAGAGAGAGTAAAATGCTTGAAAGCTGAGCGCTGGTAAAGAGGAGGCTCGAAGAAGGCTGTACATGCGTGGCTTACTGGAGACTTAAAGATGTGCAGAGCTAGGTCTCCTAAACCTTTATTCTCTATCTCTCTCTCCCCCCCCGCCGCACCCCACCTCAGCATAACCTCCAATATGGAATGCATCCTCACAGTCCCCTTTGAGGCTGGATTATATCTGTCCCCTTGTTCCTTATGTCTGCACCAATGGCTCTAATCCTATGCCTCACAAGTGAAATGTAACAATTGTAGTCGCGCGGAGGGGGGGAAATGTACAAGCGACTGTCGTTATGCAAATGGATGGTTGTGGAAATATGTGGATGTAAAGTAGGTGGTGGTTTATTTCCAGCTCCCATCACCATCTCCCTCACCACCCACCACCTTGAAAATCAAATTAAATCAGCAATGTGTGTTAGGGAGCCAGCCTAGAGATTCCGTTGTTCCTGATGCTGTTAAGAGAATGTGGTCATGGTGCTGGAATGTGCAATGAGGGTAATGGATGTGCGTGCCTGTGTGTGTGTGTGAGTGAGTGAGTGAGTGTGTATGTGTGCCTTTATGGCTGCAGTGTTTGAGTATTGGAGGGGGGGAGAGATGATATTGCTATCCCCTTCCCTTTCCCACGGGCAGGGGAGGATGGGGTAGCTAAATACCCAAATGTGTCAGGACGAAGGACTCCAGAGTCTTAAGAATCATCTAGGCAGCTTTTGGAGGCTGTAAATGAGGTCAGCAAGCACCAGCAACTTCCCCATGTTTTTCTCAGGATGGTTGGCTTCCCCACCCCATCAGGATGGCCGGGGGCAAAGAATTGTCTCAATCGTTCTGTGTATAGGGAATTCAGAAAGAGCCAAGTATGACCTTGTGGCATTACCCCCACCGTCTTCTTCAGTAGCAGTGTTATAAAGTTTATTGTATTTCATGCCTCTGTGCACTTGCAGTAGCATGAGATGAGGTCTCAGAACAGGCAGGGGAAGCTTTTTCTTCCTACCCACCCCACCTCCGAAAGGAGAGGTAACCTTTTAAGTGAGTCTGTGACTGTTGTATTTTGAAGCCTGCAACCCCTGCTTCATCTTCTGAGCAAGCAGGATTTTTAAAAAGCAGTGCTGAAAGGAGGTGGAATGATTTCATTTGGTGGCTGCAATGATTTTATACGGTTGGCTATTTGCTTTCCTTACCGATCTGTGTGAGCTGCTGGGACTGGCATAGTACAAGGAGCTGCTGTGGTGCTACTGTGTGGGATTATTTATTGGGGAATCTGGCAGGTGGCACATGTAGAGGGTTGCCTCTCTTACTGTTAAATTTCCATGTGAATTGTTGATTCTCTTTGCTGCAAAACGGGGAAGCTCCCTTTATTGATTTTTCTTATCAGTATGATTATGGTTGCTACTGTTGAAGGAAAACTTGATATTTTTAGGACGCTGTCCGCTGCATTCAGTGCATCATGTGTTTAATAATAAACAGCCAGTGTAAAATCTTATTTTTCTGCCTAGATTTGTCCATTTTTTAAAATAACAGAGCAGTTCAGTGGTTGTGCCAGGAAAAAGATTGCACCACTGCAGGCAGCATCAGGTAACAGAAAAATGCCATGCATTTTTGGTTGTGTGCATGAAGGTAACCAAGCTGGGCCTTTTCATATAGGATAGAGAATGTCATATTTCTTGTTACATCACCTACATGGTACTTTCCCTATATGTATTTAAAAAATGTGGGGTGTTCTCATTTTTGGGTAAACCTTCCCTTTTTTATTTTCAGCAACAGCTGGCAAGAAGAACAGCAGCTCAAACATTCAGTCTTACAAACTGTAGCTGAGAAGGCTGCTTTTAAAAACACTTTGCCTGGCCTTCCTCTTTATGCAACTGAATATTTCTGCATATGTAAGGGACTGAGTAGTGTGCCCTGTTTTGAGCCCTCCTTTGTAGGATTGAAGTCAAACAATGATGGCACAGGAAATAAATGCACATTGATAAGGACAGTATAGTACATCCAGTAGGTACATTTTTAGACACTTCGTATTATGCTGATAACTCCATAGTCTGCTTCCCCCACAACTAGTTTGACATTAACATCAGGTTTGGCAAATGTACTGTGGACGCTATTATTCTTGTATAGGAAATATAGCTAATTCTGCCAGATTAATTTGCTTTCTAAACTTTCCATTTTATCAGTTGAAAGTTCCATTGGCCTTTCCTTCGTGCGTTTAGTAGCTGTTCTGGAGGATGTGTTTTCTATATAAAGAGTGAAACAACTCAAATCTACCCCAAATCTAATTTTGCTAGTATATGCCTACTAAAACTGTTCACCCCCCCACCTGAAATCCAAATCTTTGGAAATGTAAATCTGTATTATTATTATTATTATTATACTTTTAGAAATGTGTAGTGTACTGGTGTAATCTTGATTTTGATTTGGGGCTGCAAAATCAAGGTGGTCAGTGTGGAAATCTGGCTTTATTAGAACCACCTCTCTTAACCATGAGGCCAGCTATGACAATCAGTCAACACTACGAGGAGATAATGGGTGCTCAGCTTCTGGAAAGACTGACAAAGCCTTTTAAGTGACAGGTAGCATTTGTAGAAAGTATAAAATACGTACTTAAATAACTTCATCACATCAGTTAATGATAGTGGTATGGATAAAAAAAATATGACAGTATGGTTTTTGTTGTTGAAGCTGGGGGAAGCATTCTTTCTTTCCTAGATTTTAATATGAATGTGTAGATAGTTTCTTCCCCCATAATTACAGTGAATATTCATGATTATGTGAGTGTAGCCCCACCCACATATCTCAACCTAACCATTCTACAGCCTAAGTTTTATTTTCCCTATGGTGACACTTAAGCTTAACATACATTATTTTGGTTTTATAAATTTGCAAAGCAAAATCATTGGAATTGCTAGATATTTTACCAACTCTATAAAATCAACCCTAAGCTCACTTGCATAAACTAAAACCAGTCTTTAGGTAAGTAGCATATTTCCATAAGCTGTGTATTGCATAATATATACTATGAAATTGCAGCAGTAAATATATTTTACTGTACTTCATGTGTACAGAAGTGCTAGAATTGTAGCTGCTGTAGCCCCCTGCTGTGTGATAATGCAAATGGCATCTAATGCTTTAATGTGCTGTGCTTTTGTGAGAACTGGATAGCACTGTATTAGATGCAGAAGCTGTTACACTCAATACTTCACTGGCACTGAGTAAATATTTCAGAGCAATTCCTACAGTTCCTTGAGAAAATGTGTGATTGAAGTGAAATTTTCACTGAATGATTGTCAGTAGATGACTAGCTAATAATTGTGTTTGAGGTTGATCGTGATATGTCTTTTCAAAACATCTTGCTGATGAGTCTGTAAAATCAGAAACATATTTTTTCTTCTGCTTAAAAATAAGCAGGAACAATGAATTGGCTTTAATGCACTCTGTACACAATATTGTGCCTTAAAATAACTGTGTTGTGGTCTTCACAATATCCTGAAGTAGGCAATATTGAAACTTATTTGATCTGTTTCTAGTACTTTTCTATGAAGCAAAATTTGCCAAATATATGGTAGCATATTTTAATGTGATGTTAGAGCTAAACACCCCCCTCCCTGCATGAATTCCATTTTGTTTCTTTCTAAATAGAAGGTGTAAAATAACATCAGTTGTCATTTAGCATTAATTGTATATGTTACATTTGTTGGTTTTTATATTCCATAAACAAACAAACAAAATCCTTTTTTTGTATTCTATATATGGAAAAGGTACAGTTTTTCCTGTTAACCAATGCATGCATTTAATATCAATGAAAAATAAAAGTATTTGAAATTTAAAGCAGCAACTCTGGATTTGTAAATTTTTTGAAAAAATGGGAGGAACATCTTATACAGTATTGCATGTTTACTTGAAAG